CTTTATCCATATTAACTGATTTTTGAGGTATCTTATGATTTTTGAAAATAGGTGTATTGTTTGGTTGGTTGTTTAACTTTTAAGGAACCTGTAGCCAGGAAGTAGAATTAATGTAGAAATATTATTTTTTAAGGGACCACATTGGCGTAACTAATACAGGGTTGTCAGTAAAGGTCATTTAATATTTTAGATAGGAAAGAGCTAATCAGGTAGCTTCCGTGAAGTTTTTTCTCATTAAGAAAGTGATTTCTCCAAAATTACAGTTTATGTAATTTCTTAAGTCTATAACCAAAGTTCAGGCTGGTTACTAAGTATTAACCTCTTAGCACTAAATTTGAAATCTTGGTCTTTGATGGTATACGTTCTGCTGTAAATTGGAAGGACGGGTGGGAGCTACAGTGGCGTTTCTAATTCACCATGTTCTGATATACAGCACCAAGGTGTGCTATAAGCAAGTCATAGCTGGGTTTATTTATAACTAATTGTGTAAGGATCCTCGTTTGTGGTTCTGAAATCACATATTTCTTACCCTGAGCAGTTTTTGCATCAGACATTTGTTGAGTGAGTGGCCTAATTTTTCTAGGTCCTTTAGAAGTTCTTAGTCTGCTCTGTTCTTCATTTTCATGAATGATTTTAAAATTTTCTACTCATTGTATTCACTTTTGCTCTGTTTCTTTGCATGATAAATTCAAATCTAGATCTAAGACCCCTTCATTAAATGACCTTTGACTAAAAATTAGTAACACGAATATATAGGTATAATTCAAAGGAAAAAATGCCTTATGACCAAAACTAGCTCAGCTTACATTTACAATTATATTTGAGAAGTGTCCCTGCCTGACCTCTGTATCACTTTCTAGGATATCTTGACCAAGGCCAAGAAATATAGTACTTTTCCTTGTTTTCTTAAATCCTTTTCAATGCCACTGTCTTTTTGAGTCTACTTGCTACCATGCTTTTCAGTTTCTTCTTACATGTAACTAGATATGTGCTTCCTCACCCTTTCTTGCCAGATGACATATGCCTCTTAAAGCTGTTTCCTCCACAAACTCCTCTAAAAGATAGTAGATGACAGTTGCTTTCTACTCAAACCAGAAATATAAATATAGGAATCATATATAACAAGTCAGAGCTAATGATGTTAATCAAAGGTGCGCTTATTTGAATATAAAGGCAAATGAGCATTTCATACACTGTACCAATACCATTAATTAATTAATACAACAGCCTACTTTGCTATTTCAGGTTTTGCAGGAGCTCAAACTTTGATCCTCACGATATAGACTTTAAACCCCATTATAACATGGATATTTACTGTGTCTATACTGTTAAGACTGAATGGAACTATGACTACTTTTATGACAAAGGAATAATTTATGCTAAAATTAAGGATAGTAAGATATGCAATGGTATTGCTGTACCAGTTTTTTATGAAAGGTTGGTACTTTTGCCTGTTGTTAAAATTTTTTAACATTCATCCCTGAGAATAGCTTGTGTTATGCTTACTCTAATTGGGAACACAAGTCCCTTTGGATCTCAAATAAAAACTTTAAGTCTTAACAGAAAAAAAAATAGAGGATGGAAACAAAATGTGATAGAATCTGGTGATTTTGATGGAGGTACAGTCTTAGTGGAAGCAAATCTTTTTCCCCTTTCTTCTCTGTGTGTGTGTGTGTCTGTCTACATACACATCTTTCTGAAGTGACTGACATGATACTATTTTGAAGCCTTTGAAAAGAGTAAGTTGGTGAAGTATTTAGTTAGCCTTTCAAAATGGTAAAACATCTTAGAAGAAGCTCTACAAAGAAATTGTGCTCACTAGACCAACATATATACATATATATTTGGCCATTTTTCCAGAGAGGGGAGCTGTTTATACCAAATTATTTAAGAAAGTACTGATTTTCATGTTTATTTGTTAGAGACAGATTCCAATTGTAAATTGTAGTAAGCTGGTATTTTGTATTTATATTCATAGTCACATTAGGTTCTTTTACCTTAAGATAAAATTTGAATTTTATATGCACTCATGTCTTCAACCAATTATTACTACCTTTTCTTAAATCTAGCCATAAGATAAAAGAAATAACCAACACCCAGAACAGCATCAGTTTGCCATTAAAAATCTGGTCCAGCTTGTCTTAGAATGATTATAAAAAATCTGCAATAAGAAATGTTTCCATTGTTCATTCAGAAGATCTTATTTATAAAGCTTGAAAATTTCAGAAATGAAAATAGGATAAGCCACCAAATCTAGAAGTCCTTTTGATTAACAATGTAAATCATTTCCTCCCATTAGTTAAGTTAATTTGAGAGTAGGTATTTGCTTGAATGGATCAAAAAAATTAAAGTGTAAAAAAGGTACTATACTTTGTTAAAACAAAGATTCATTCTGTTAATCAAAGATTATGGCTATGCTTTTCTGTTCCTAATCATCTTTATAGTTTAAGATTAGAAGGGACCCAGTATGTGATGCTAAGCAAGGACACCCATGGGGAGGAAAGGTTATTTGGGTTTAACTGGATGATCTTAAATGTGTTCTCTTTTGATGAAGAAACTCGAGTTTCCTGGATCTCAAATTGGAATTTGAGAGGTGGGGGTGGGGGGCAGTGGCATTTGGCCTAGCAAAGCCCTATATACTGACGGTGGAACATTCTACCATCTTGGTTCCATGGCCAAGCCCTTAAGTGATATCATTTGAAATCATACTTATAGGGAAATATATACAAGGCCAAATTTTGCACATAATAAGGCTTTTAATAATCTAGGTTTATGAGATTTGAAATGCATTGTCTATATATAATGTATTAGAGCTGAGGCTCTCACCTAAGACCTGTTTCCTTCCATTCTGATGTAGTAAATTCAAGATGGGGCCCAGGCATGTGATAAGCTTACTGGGTCAATATAATACAAACCAGCATTGGTGTGTTTATCCGTCTTCATAAGTTGATTCCTGGCTTTGCTATTCCTTAGCTGTGTATATGGATTTGGACAAGTTATTAAGTCTCTCTAAGACCCATGCTTTTTCTTTGTGAATTGATAATAAAAGTAATATCCTCCTCATTGGATTGCTTTGCAGAGTAAGTGAAATATTCATATAAAGTTCTTAACAAAGTAACTGGCCTGTAGTGCTTAATAAATGGTTATGTGATAATGATAAAAGGTTTTTTAAAATATTTCTGTAAAATAGTAAAATGAGACACAGATCTTAGAATTCGAGCTTTTAGATCATAATTTATTGTCTGTCTTGCAAACACAATTCAAACAACTAATTCACTCAACCTTGGCTCCTTTATAGAGTGCTGGGAGGACTAACTATGATATTTTAGTTTAAAAAGCAAGATCTCTTATTGATTTTAGTTTTGGGCTCATTCTTTCTTAGACACATTTACATATTATTTTTACCAAGTCAATTCTGAAAAACCACATACTGAAAGAAAGATCAGGGACAAAAAGAAACTATTGGGCTTACAAATGGCATTTATTTTAAAAACCTTTGAAGATCATCTTGGGACCTATTGATATGGTTTGGATATTTGGCCCCTCCAAATCTCATGTTGAAATTTGGTCCCCAGGGTTGAATGTGGTGCCTGGTGGGAGGCGTTTGGGTCATGGTGCCCCCCTGTGATAATAAGTTTGCTATATTAGTCCACAAAAGAGCTGGTTGTTTAAAAGAGCCTGGCACCACCACCTCTCTCTCTTGCTCCCGCTTTCACCATGTGACATGCCTGTTGTCCCCCTTCGTCGTCCGCCTTGATTGGAAACTCCCGAAACCCTCACTCATCAGAGGCAGTTGCTGGTGCCGTGCATCTGTGCAGCCTGAGAACTGTGAGCCAAATAAATCACTTTTCTTTGTGAATTACCCAGCCTCAGGTATTTCCTTTATAGCAGTGCAAATGGACTAACGCACCTATGCTTGAATATTGTTGTATGGGCTTTCACATCTGCCCATGTGCAACAAACATAGATTTATGTCTATATGAAGGTAAATAAACACTCTATGACTCAAACCCACACAAAAGTGAAACGCATTTAACACTGAGATACAAAAAAATAGAAATTTGATTTTTAAAAAGGATGTATAATCAAGTGGTTTTAATAAAAGGGTAATTCTGAGGCCGGGCGCGGTGGCTCACGCCTGTAATCCTAGCACTCTGGGAGGCCGAGGCGGGTGGATTGTTTGAGCTCAGGAGTTCGAGACCAGCCTGAGCAAGAGCGAGATCCCGTCTCTACTAAAAATAGAAAGAAATTAATTGGACAACTAAAAATATATAGAAAAAATTAGCCGAGCATGGTGGTGCATGCCTGTAGTCCCAGCTACTCGGGAGGCTGAGGCAGGAGGATCGCTTGAGCCCAGGAGTGTGAGGTTGCTGTGAGCTAGGCTGACGCCACGGCACTCACTCTAGCCAGGGCAACAGAGTGAGACTCTGTCTCAAAAAAAAAAAAAAAAATTGCATATGCTGAGTGATAGAATAATTAAAAAGAAAGATAGCCTTTTTTTTCTCCCAGATGAATATTCTCATTTTCTTTTTTTCCTGATGCCAAATGTCTGTCCATAGAGATTTGTGCCAAAGATGTTGGCAGCATTTACATCAATTACTGGTATTTTATGGGAGAAAATGAATGAAGAAGGAGTGTTCTGGGGAAGCAATTGCTCACTTTGTTTTTCTCAAGTTATTCTTTTTTTTATTTTATTTTAGCTTTGTTTTTCTTGGTTTGCCTTCCATTGTCAATCCTTTTTGCTTTTATTTTTCTTTACATTCAGAAGTTTCCTACTCTGCTTCTAACTTTATTTTTTTATAGTAAAACTTAATTCTCAGAATATGGGGTCTTACGTTTAAAGCTCACAGTTAAAAACATGTTAAAGTTGGCACTCCACTTTAGATTCAATTGGTGTCTTAGAGTGAAGTGGAGAAAGAGAGATGAAGAGGAAATTATTCTTTTGGACTGCTCTCCAGGAAATCCTTCTCTATGCTTTAAAAGCTCTTGTTCTTTTCTAGGAGTCCAATGTGCTGATTGCTGCTAACAGTCAGGGTACAATTAAGGTAAGCTATTTTATATATCTCCATTTTAACCTCAGACCCATTTTTAGACTATAACAGGATCGTGGAAATATACAGTTGAGTTGTACTGAGCCTTACAGATCATTCCAAATCGTGGGTCTCTGTCTCCTTGCAGATGGCTTGATTGAAGGGAAAAAGAATAAGTAGCTTGCAGCTGTGGAGATGATAGTACTTGCTGAGGTTGCGTGGATGCTGAATGAATTGATAGATGGTCAGATTGAAAAACAGATGAAGACTATTGAGCATCCATTGTGGGCCAAGCACTGTTTAGCTTCTGTTACGCCAGTGCAGCTACCCCACAGGGCATTCAGTAGAGAGGGCTGAAGATAGAGCAGGAGATGCTGAGACATTCACCAGATTTAAATGTATCTTACTTTTATTTTATTCTTCTCTTCCTCATACTTCTCTTCTTTCTCTTCCCTGACAACTAGTTTTTTCCTCAGTTGCCAGAGGGAGGGGAGAACTATTTTAGTGTTCAATTGAAAGTTGGTGGATATTTAGCACTTGGACATAATACATTGGATAAATAAATCCTGAGCTAAGCAGTCAGTGAACTTTCTAAACAAAACACCATTTTGATGGGCGTTTTTAGTACATGGATTTGATTAGCACTTATTCTGAGGGTACCTGCTGTTTCCACATATTCTCTGCTGATTTGGAAATACCAGAAAGTATTTTTTTTTAATAATATTTGTCTCTTTCCCCTGCTACTTAGCATTAATTTTTCTGCCATGGCTTCCTTAGACTAATTCTAAATGGAGAATGACCTAACAATCAAGAGAGTAAATCCAAGCCTAACTCATTGTCCTATGGAGACGAAATGAAAAAACTCAAAGCAGGGGAACTGCACGTTATTTGGTCAAACTAATTTACGTGACAGCCTCCTTTAGTAGGCAGCTAGTTTGTCTATTTGGAAAGCCTCTTTAGAGAACCACAGATAGCTTAAATGAAAAACAGGCTTTCAAACTGATCATTTGTTATGTTCTAGAAGCCCCAAGCAGGATGGTAGAAGGTCTTAATCTCTGTTTAAGTGGCCGTCTATAATCTCTCAATTTCTCTTTATCTTATTCTTATGGCAAGGCATGAATTCAAAAAGGTACATCTTGTTCTTCAATAAATTTGGCTTATGGAGGAATTGGGATTGCTAACATACCTGCAGGAGCTCAAAACTACGTAGGTACTCATGGAGTCACACTGACAAATCTAAGGTTTTGTTCAATAGTGTTGACATCTTATGCTGAGTAACCTGGTTGCCTAATATAAAGACAAAGGCATTATGGAAGCACAGATGCAAATCAGGCCTTAGCAGAGCAGGAAGGGAAAAGTTACGCCTTTAAATCTTTGCCACTTTGAATTGTAGTCTCCATCTAACGTAATCCTTTCTGACAGTGTCTCTTAAGTATCCTCGGGTATTCTGTGTCCTTTCTTAACCATTTGCTTCCTCTTATATTGAGTTTTAACAGTATCACAACTTTTATGACAATATACTACTCTTATTCTAAGAACTAACAAAATATCTTGACACCAGATGATTGACTAGAAAACGAATGAAGCAGTAAAAAAGGCAAGATTTTAGGTCATGTACATACACTTTGTCACTATAAATAGTGTTTGTCAATGGAATAAGTAGATTAAAATCCTAGACAGTAATATTTCAAATTTTCTTAAGAATATAGAAAGATACCAATATGGATTCCAAAAATATTCCATGCTGTTGTGCATCAACCACTTCATTTATCCACATTTTATGTAGTTTACCTTGAAGGTTCCCTAGTTAACTTTGGAGATAACTAATCTGAAAAAGTTCATGCAACTGTTGAATTCAAAGTAAGAAAGGATTAATGTCCAATCCCATCTTTGGCATTTTACCAGTTGAAAAATTTTTTTTTTTTAATTTGGTTCTCCATTGGTAAATTTAGTAAGGATTCATTAAACTCTTTCTATATTTTAAAACTATCTTATTAAACTAATCATTTTTTTTCCCCAACTAGGTGCTAGAGTTGGTATGAAGGCTTTATTCAAGTCAAATTGTACTTGATCCTGCTGAAACACATCTGCAGCCGACAACAAGAGAAGAAACAGAAACTGTCGTGACGTCTCTCCCCGAAGTCGTCATGGGTTTTGAGTATTTTTTCTTTTTCCTTTTTTCCTCCTTTATGACCTTTGGGACATTGGGAATGCCCAGCAAACTCTCCGCCATCGATGTAACTCCACAGACTTTGCTGCTGTTGGTGGTGTGATTATCTAATTTTTGTGATAGGGAAACAAATTCTTTTGAATAAAACTAAATAACAAAAAATAATAAAAGTTTATTGAGCCACAGCTAAGCGGGGTAAGTTTTTGTCAGATATATCAAGAGATGTTCTTTTCAAGAATTGGCAAACATAAACTATAGAATAATGTACCAGTGAATAATTTGTAAGGTTCATATTCTCCAACCTCTTTGGAATTATTCATATCAACATAAACAAATATATAAAGTATATGGATTCCATCCCATGAATTTAATGTTTACAGTAGGTGGAAAGATTACTTTGTGAATTCTTTTTTTCGTTCTCTGAGCAGATTTATATCATCAGCAAGTACCATACTCTCCAGTCTGGCTAATGATCTAAAATTTTGACCTGTTTGAGACTGCATTCAAACAGAAAGAGAACATCAGTCTCTGAAAGCTGGCTCTGAAATGTCACATATATTAATACATACCATAAGCCCTAAATGTAAACCAAGCCATCTAACTAATCATGGCTATTAGTACCGTCCTGGACTGAACAGTGACTGGGAGCAGGTGTCAGCAATGGCAGAAAAGCAGCCACAGACAATAAATGCGTGAATGGATGGGCATGGCTGAGAAGAAGACAGAGGATCAGATTTGTCCCACAGACCATAGTGCCAGCCCCTAACTTAGAGGAAAAGGACTTGAATTACTCAAACTTCCAAGTCATATTATCTCTTAGATTGTCTAGTTAATTTTACAAATTGTTTGCAGATTGTAAAAGGAAAGAAGATATTCGTTGGAGCATCAGGTCAAGCAAAGGTAATGTACAGAGCTACTTTAAAAGTATGAAAACTTCTTAGCAAAAGATATAAACAGAATTATACTCTATACATTTTATAAAAATAAATATTTGGAGAAGCTTGGTTGAATAAAGATGCATAGTGAGGGTAATCAGAATATCCCAATGTATCCTTTAAAATTACCGAAACCTACTACCAGTTCCCATTTTGTTATCTGAAATGCTTGGGACCAAATGTATTTTAGAACTTAGAACTTTTCAAATATTAGAAAGCTAATAGAGTACATGTACTATATGTTATGAAACAGCACCAGAGTCTAGAGCAATACTCCATAATCAAAAACATTAATAGTTCTGCAGCAAAATGTATGAATGTTCACATTACTTGGGATTAATTAATAAAGGCCAAAAATAGTATTGCGTCAGTTCAGGTCTGGTTTTACCACCAAACCAGTTTACCTCAAGCTTAGGTGAAATTTTTCAGTTTTCTGAGCTTCAAGAGCATTACATCTGCAAATTAAGAACTGATGAACTTTTGGACTCCATTCTGAGAGGAAATTGATATGGTTCAAAAATTATACCTGTCACCATCCAGAACAATGTTAGTTGGGCATTATTTCCAAGATTAATGAAGGACCTCTTGCAAAGATATAGGAAGAACATTCAAATGTATATTTTTCACTTAAGAAATTTCACTGAGGCATATATGTCCAGGAAATCATCAAAATGGGAAGCAGAGAGTTAATGCCTCTTTGAATACATTTAAGTAGAAACAGATTATAGTGATTATTTAGTTTCACTTTTTGTTTTATTTTAAACTATATATTGTGGGGTCATTTAATTTCTATATGTTTGAAAGATACAATAAGGTACACTTATCAAAGGGACTCAGTTTTTTAATAAATTATTTTAAGAAGACAGTGCTTCATTTGAATTTTTTCTACCTTTTTTTGTAAATAGAAACCATTTTTAAATTTGAGTTAGTCTGTAGGATGTTAAGATCAAGCTAATCTCACCATTTCTTGTAAAAATAACAATATTTAAATGCTTAAAGATAATGTAGATTTTAACACCAAAAATACTCTACATTCAAAAATAGTGTGGACTGTCAAAAGGTGTTTCAATTTAATCTTTATTTCAGTGGACTTGTAGGGGTTTCTCAGAGCTTGCCTTTGTTCCCAAGCACACAACTCATGTATAGGAAACATTAAGGATTGAAGAACTTTGTAAAGTTCTTATAAGAAGATTGAACTACTAAACATCAAAAAATTTACAAGACTGAGCAGAGACTTCAGAAAAAATAGCCTAGCTGGACCATTAGTAGGCAAGGAAGGGAGAAGTGTAGGATGAGTTTGAAGTAGTGGAGGAGCCCAATAGGGTGGAGTCTTGTAGAGCGTAGTTGAGAATTTGAATTTCGTTGATAAAAGCAGTTGAAGGGAAAGGTTAAAGGGAATGACATCTGATTTATGATATATGGATAGATGGGGGCAAGAGTACAGTTAGGAAGGTGATCAATCAAGAGTTTATGGGGCTTAGACTAAGGTTGTAGCATTATCCAACCTAAAAGCCTGTTTCAGCTGATCGAGTTCACCACAATCTTAATTTCTATATGTTGGAAGATTCTTGATTAATTTTTAAAGTCATTGTCTAAGTTATGACAACAAAAAATGTTACTCAGAAAGTTTATTTCTTTAGTTGTTATACAGTCTTCAGTAAGCAATAAGTCACTTGGGAATCTCATGGCCAAAATGTTTGTAAGCGATTTTGGAGGACCACTTCTAAGCAGACCTAGAAGCTCTTTAGCCCGCGTCCTAAATATAAGGGTAATTGGTCATTGCCCTTAATGTAATCATGCAAAGATAACTGGGATTAATGGAAACATCTGCTTACCTAGAAATAAGATGTTAGGAGGTGCTACCTTAGATGCTGAGCCTAGTTTTTTGAATGGCTGACATTGACACCTTATTGTTATCACCTTGTTCCTCCCAGAGAAGTTAGCTGTCAGCTCACATGTGGCTTCTGGTTAATGTGTTAGGCACTTCTGGACTACCTTGGACTGAAGAGAAAACCATAGTGATATTCTAGAAATATTTGTTGAGCTCCCACTTGTACAGGGAACTGTGTACTACATACACAGAATAGATATAAATAAGATATAATCCCTACCCTGAAGAGGCTTATTGTCCATTGGGAGAGACAGGTAAGTATACAAGGTATAAGTACCAGGATAGATATAAGCTTTAGGTGTACATAGGAAAAACATAATAAACTAGAGTGGTGGAGGATTAGGGCTGGGAGTAGAGGCAGTTGTCAGAAATTGTTTTCCTGCAGGAGATAATCTCACCTGGATGATGAAAAACAAGTAAGCATTAAGCTATAAAAGGTAAAGGAACATTCAGAGTAGCACCCATGGCTAACACTGGAGCAATTTGAACAAAACAAAGTAATATTGGATTATAACCCAAAGTGTAAAATAAATGTTATTGAAACCACAAGGGCATTTCGGTCTAGGTCCAGCGGCTTTTCGCACAAAGATCCAGTTATTGAGAAATGAGGATTGCCAAGGAAGAAAGAAATTTGTAATGCTACAGACATCTTGTTGGGAAAATGGTAGAAGCTCCCTTAAATCTGTCTCTGCAACTGAAAGAGATCAAAGGATGGGCCATGTGCCTTGGGACAGGTCATAGTGTAACTAAGCAGGGTCTTCCTGCAATGGGGGGCAGGTTGTGGGGGTGGTGAGGAGTCAGAGAGCCTGCCCTGGGGCCTTCAGAATCTCAACTCCTTTGTCTTGCAGAAAATCAACCATTTCTGGGAAACAACTCAAAAGGTCAAGTAGTTAGTTAAGGGAGATGATTATATTGTGTAAGAGTCATTGAACTTTGTTCATTGGGGGGCCGGTTACATAAATACCCATGAATCTACACTAAGTGATTGGATAAGTAAATGGAGAAGAGACAAATTTCCTATGCAGAATTCTAAATAATTTAGATAAAGAAGCATAACTTCCCACTCCGAAAGTATGCACTTTGCATCGTGACTTCCAAGAGTACAGTATGGAAAGGGAGGAAAAAGTAAATTTCCAATGAAGCAACCTCAAGAAGACTACCTTAGCCACATAATCAGGGTCAACATCGAAAGTGATGTTACGTTGATAGTATATACTCTTAACATGATGTAATGAAAATGGCATTTTAACTCTAGTTTTTCTTCCGAAAATAACCCCATAAACTCAGTCTACCTGAGAAAAACATGAGACAAATCCCTGTTGAAGGACATCCTACTGAATACCTGACCAGTACTCAGAACTGTCAACATCATCAAAAGCAAAGTCTGAGAAACTGTCACAGCCATGAGGAGCCTATATTTGATGGGATTTTGAAGCAGAGAAGAACATTAAATAAGAACAAAATCTAAATAAAATATGGACCTTAATTGATATTAATGTATCCATATTGGTTCATTAATGGTAATAAACATACCACACTACATAACATAAGATGTGAACAGGGGAAGTTGGGTCTGGCATATATAGGAACTTTGTACTATCTTTGCAATTTTTCTGTAAATCTAAAAATACTATTCCAAAATAAAAAGTTTATCAAATTCTTTTAATTTTTTTAAAATATGAAGATCATTATATACAAAACAATATGCAAGACAAAGTAATGGGAGTGAAAGCGGGAGATGCACACAGGAAATCACAGTGATATATTTCAGCTGTCACTTAAAAAAAAAGAGGGAAAAGGTACGGAGTTTGGAGATTTATGTTTCAGTCTCAACTGTGTCACTAAGAAATTGTATAGTTTTGCAAAAGATGGTCAAGCTCACCACTCCATATTTATCTCTAAATTCTACTTCCTGAGAATGATACTCTGTTAATAAGGTTGTACTATACAAAGTCCATATCATTCTTGTGACTTAGTCACTCAGATACCTGAGTGCTTGCAATTATTTATTAATATTTATTCTTTTTACCTGAGATCATTATAGCTTCTCAATATGAGAATCAAGAAATCTTTCTATTTGCATATGGTTTTAATTCTCAATTCTCTAAGCGTCATTTATTATTGATCAGTTTTAGAGGCAAACTCCCTAATGCCCAAATTCTGAAAGAGATCTTGGCCTGGAAGTATGTAGGGATTCTCCTAAATTATAAGTTCAGTTTCCCAAGGATGATAGCAGTCCAGGGTAACCAATTAGTGTGTGAAATATTCACCTTTAGTTTTATACAGCTGGAAGAATATTTTATCCCAGAAACAAATTTGTGAGTGAGCTACAGTGGAAAAGCAGTTGAATAATTCAGTT